CGCGGAGGTGGTAGTGCTCCGGAGAGGATGCCGGAGGCTGCGCCTTCTTCCGCGAATGCCGAACCACCATCCGTCGCGGCGAAATCAGACGCGTGCTCGCTCTTTTGCGTGCGCCGGCCATCTCTAGCTCGATCCTTTTTATTTATCGGTTATTTTCTTTCGATGGATACAGGGGGTGTGAGCAATTCAAAGTCGAGGAGTCGTCGACTAACGTACCAGCGAGTCGTGGTCGTTGGTTTCGCGGGCAAAGTTCCAGTGAAGGTGGAAGGGGTGAGATGGAGATTTGATTTCGAAAGTAATGAAGATGATGCGTGGAGGATGTTTCGTCGAGTTTGAAGAGGTTTTGAGAGGTTGTGAGAGGTTTGTGAAGATGTGTATTGGGAAATTGGTGCTCGGTATTGGGGATTTGAGAAGGTTTTAGAGCTTGTTACTTAGAATGTAGAAGATGGGTAATTCCAGGTCAAACGAGTCTGTTACGCGGATGACATTTCCCTAGGAATAGAAAGGGCGAGGTGGAGGTTCTAGCTGGAAAAAAATGAAGTCGATATAAGAATGATACTTAGCATGGAACGAAGAGGCATTGGAAGGTTGTGAGAGATTTGTGAAGTTATATTTGGGATAGTGTGTATCCAATCAGTGATTTGGATAGGTCTTAAAGCTTAATTTGTTGAATTCGTTTTCAGAAAGTGTTAACTTTTCCCTCTTAGAATTAGTTACTTTTCTTTTAAGATTGACCAGACATTAATTCTAAAAATGAATTCACAGATTATACAAGTTCATATATACGTGTTGTACATACAACATCTTCGGAGAGAATAACATTCCACTGATAATTCTCACTATCCAAAACTGGCATAAACTTCATTGAAGTTAGCAACGTGATCTTGACACATTGCGAGGATCCAATTTTCCACCCATTTGTCGGTAAAATAATGTTGTGCGCGGTCATTGTTACTGCGGCTTCGTATGGCAGCTGATCAGGGCCGGTAAGGATCGAATGAATGTCATCGAAGAGGACGGTCGGGTTGCACGAAGGCGGTTGGCGAACGAGTCGATCGTCGTCGAAGAGGATCCTCGCGGGAACGTATGGGATTTCCGGCGGTCGATCATCGGCGATCCGCTCGAACGTGAAATCGGATCCAACCACGGGAACGGCGTTAGAGGCGTTGTTGATGCTCGTGACGTGTTCCTCGAAGGGAGGGCGGCATGTAACGGTAAACTAGCTTCCGAATCGGTTGGTTACGCGTCTAAGAAACCGATACCTGGCTTGGTGTAAATAAATCGCTTCGAGGGGATCTGTTTCCGTTCCGTCTTGTCCGCTGGATTAACTTTTGTCGATGCTTCACCGTGATCGTTCAACAGAATATCGGCTCAGGTTACTCATCATACAGGTTGAAAAGATTCCTTGAAAGTGAAATGATGATTGGATAGCTGGTAGAGATTCTTCGATTTACGATAGGGAAATCGGTTTCGTAATTTCAATGGAATACTGTTGGCAGAGTGGATTAACGTAAGGTTGCATCGATTTTTTCGACGAAATGGAAGGCTATAGAAATTCTTCGAATCATAATACAATAGGAAAGTTGGTTTTGCTGATTACTTCGAGGAAATTGCTAGTTGATAGACATTTTTTGAGTTATAAGAAAAGAAATGGATAGGAGCATGAATCAACGTATACGAACTGTACCGATCCCCTCTACGTGTGTCTGTATATATTAGCACAAAATCTACTAAATACTGCAGAAAGATCAATTTTGCAAATTTGTTAGAATATAATTAATAAATTCGATCAATATAGTATAGGGTATACGGATTCCTCTGACATAAAGTAGTATGTAGTTGAATACCTGGTACAAATTCTTCGAGTTACGACAGAGAAATCAGTTTCGCAATTCGAACAGAATACAGTTGGTAGCGTGGATCAACGTCAAGGTGTTCTCGTGAAACGGTACTAATGGACTGTGCTGCAATCACGCTGCTTTTACTTAATGGAACAATCCAGGGCCATAGTAAATTACAACGGAACGCGGAGATTTACTTCATGTTTAGAAGACAAGAATGTTGCACAGTGGCAAATGAGATAGGATAACCATTGTTGGAATTTATAGCGCACTATTATGATTGCGCTGTTTCTCAGACGTTTTACGAGATTGTTTTAAGAACTTCGTCCCGAATTTTCTATCGCGTTACTCTTTTTATACGGGCTGTTGAAACAAAGCAGCTCCCTTGGGCGAGATTCTATCAAAGAGCCGCAATTTAATACAGGATATTCTCGACTTCCAAACTTAATTCCAGGAAAATTCGTTCTTGAAGTTAGCGACTGGATTACAGGATTAAAAGGAAAGGATATAATAAAAAATCATCAGGGATATTACATTTTGCCTACACTACCAGCCTAAGTTTAATGAAGTAATCAAATTTCTATTAGTAGGACCTTAAAGAACTACAACTTTTTTCCACAATATAATAAACGATTAATAAATATCAATGTTATAAATCACGATCTGATTCCCCAACAAATAATTCACCGAATTATACTTTGTATAATACCATGACAAAGCCTTAGAGAATTACATTTATTCTTAATGTAACAATTAATAAATATTAACTTTATGCAACAAACATTCATCATCAATACGCATAATTTCCTACTACAATAAAATCCCAGGAGATCCCCGAGCATTAATAAATATCAACCTAACTTCATAACTGTGACATCAATTCATTTCTACTGCATATTCACTAAATATCCAATGACTTATCCCCACTAAGAGCTCCACGATTAACATTCCACATCACATAACTTTCTCAACCCTCCTGGAACCATTACAACACTTCCCCAAGAACAACTTGGTGCAATCTCCACAAAATCACACCCCGTCGTTTCCACGATTAATACTACCCTCGCGCG